AGGGTGCCGGGGGTCTCGACAGGGCCGGCAGCGAGGGGTGTGGATCTGGCTGCACTTCCCGGGGCCGGAAACCCGCCATGGCAAAACATCCCGGCTGACGGCTTTCCTCATGCCGTGGGCTCCGGTGGAGTCCCTGCAAGCAGTGGTGGGGGTGTCCCTGTCCCGCTCCCCCCATGGCAGACGTCGAGATGTGTCCCCACGCCCTGGGTTAATGAGTAGCCGGTGCCGTGCCGCCGGCGCTCCCAAAGGCCGAAGTTACGGGGTTTGTCACCACCAGCAGTGGCCTTCCTGTCCCTGCCATGACGTCCCCTCCATTGTGCTGGAACAATCCCGGAGCAGGTTGGGATTAACCCGATCCCAGCTGATTCGGACCCAGAGCGAGCAGCTCCTGTGTCCTGGGCCAGGTCACCCACCCCAGGGCCCTGTCCTGCTCCAGCTCCCCCCGAGTACCCCCATGATGATCCCACAGGGCCTGCGGGATGTCACCTTTTTGCTGATTCTGCCCCAATTCCACCCGAACAAACCCCAAATCCTTTTCCCCTCCTTACTGAGCCATGGTATGATTCAAGACCTGGCCATGATGGGGGTCCGATGGTGTTCCCGGCCAGTACTGTGCCAGCTCTCGGGAGCATCGTCAGGGCCCGTGTTGGGAAGCACGCTGTGCTTGGGGACACCAGATGCCCCGTTTCCCCCCTTTTTCATCCCAAAATTGATATTTCTGCCACCAGACACCTGGGTTTCACTTGGAGGTGGTTTGGGTCCAAAGGTACAGGTGGGTTGGGGATGAGGCCACACCAGTTCCCAGTCACCTTCCCCCGTGGTGTGACTCACTGGCTGGTGTCGCCGCCTTCCCCAGGCCCAAAACAAGGAGCTGGGGCGGCTGTGCTGGCAGACGCCAGCTTTGAGCGGCCTTGAGGACAGGGGACACAGCCGGCAGCCCGGACCAACCCTCCAGACCGACAGCACCAGACCACGCTGCCATCGCCGTAGCCAACTGCGGCCTGGCAGGGGCGATGGCCATGGGGAAGGGCAGGAGACATGCGTGTGCAGGCTGTGACGAGGCACATGCGCACGTGTGTGGGGATGTGGGGGTGTCTGTGTGTGTGTGTGTGTGCGTGCGCCTGTGTGTGTGTGCACAGAGGGCAGGAAGTTGCGAAATGCCTCGGCCAGTTTCCTGTGAAACCGGGCAGAAACCGGGCAGGGTGGGAGGTGACGTGACGGCACGGGCAGCACCCAGAGCAAGCAGGACAGGATTTTCCAGCTCCCAGGGCTGCGGCATGCTGGGCAGTGTGGTACAACATGCCATCACCACTGCCCTGGGGACCGTCACTGCTGCCTCAGGGCTCCCAGTGACCTTCCTGACCCAGCCACAGCCTTTCCTGCTCCCCATATTCCATCACTGGGGCCCCCCAGGATTTCTCAGCTCTGTCCTTTCCCCCCACAGCGTCCCTGGTGGGAGCCCAGGTCACCTCTGAGACCAAAGAAGTGCCTGAAAACAAGCGTGAGTGCCCGGCTGGGGCCCCCAGCACCCCCCAGCTCACCGACGGTCCCGTCCCCCCTGTTATCCTGGGGCAGAGGCGTGGCTGAGCTGCATCCCCTGGCACCTCTGGTGCTGCAAATGGGGCTCACCCTGGGGTCTCCGGATCCCCAGAGGACACGGGGCCTGAGGCTGAGGGTGGATTTCCCATGTGGGGCTGGACCAGGGCGGGGGGTTCAGGTGTTCCCGGTTTGGATTGCCACCCACCATGGGATGCGAGCGCGGTGCCACTCCAGCATGGCGGCATGCGCCTGCAGCATCACTCTACCCCGCCAGCTGCTGACATCCCCTGCTCGGCATATCGGTCCAGCTGGAGTAACCCCCGCATTGAGTGGAAGTTCCAGAAGGGCTCCTCGCTCGTCCTCTTCTACTATGGGGGAGAGCTGACAGGTACGTCCCTGGGACCCCCCCCGGCTCGGGGCAGTCTGTCCATCTGTCCATCCATCAGAGCTGGTTCCCAGCCCCATCTCCTCTCTCTTGGCAGAGCCGTACAAGAACCGGGTCCAATTCTCGCCCACCACCATCCACTTCAACACAGTGACGCGGGAGGACACAGGGAAGTACATCTGTGAGGTGGTGGGGGACGGCAGCCACATCGCCAAGTCGGAGGTGAACCTCATCGTCCAAGGTGCGGCTGCCCCCGAGCCCCCCTCCCTGCCCATCCTTGCGTAGCTTTGCTGTCCCGGGACCCGCTTCTTGTCCCTCTGGCTGAGCTCATCCTTGTCTCCACCGTCACATGGGGACAGCCAGCTGGGGGAAGGATGCCGGCACGGCCATCCCATGCCCTTTAGGCGCCCTGTCCCTCCCTGGTGTGAGCTGTGCTGTGCCGTGCCGAGCCAGCCCCGACGTGACACTCTCCCACAGTGCCCCCCTCCAAGCCAGTGGCCCATGTCCCCACCTCGGCCACCATCGGCAGCAAGGCCGTGCTGCGGTGCACTGAGACAGACGGCTCACCGCCCCCCACCTTCCGCTGGTACAAGGACAGCATGCTGATGCCCGCCAACCCCAAAACCAGCCTGACCTTCAGAAATTCCTCCTACACCCTGGACCCCGTCACGGGGGAGCTGGTGAGCACAGGGTGCTCCAAACTTGGGGACCCCCCCAGCCTTCCTTTGCCCCGCTTTCATCTCTCTGCTCCCATCTAGATCTTTGAGCCCCTGAGCGGCTTCGACACCGGTGACTACTACTGTGAGGCGATGAACAACGTGGGCTCCCCCCAGAAATCGGATGTTATCCATATGGAAGCCAGTAAGGAATAGCAGCAGAGGCCAGTGCTGCGTCCCTTCCCCCCCACCCAGTGTGGGGCTTTTCCAGGCTCTGCCTGGGCTGCATCCAGCACAGGTCATGTTTTGGGGGATGCTGGTGCAAGGTGATGCCATCACCCCTTCGCCCTACCAAGTTCAAAGACGTTAATTAGCTGTGATGTTAATGACCCTGGCCTCCGACAGCCCAGGCTGAAACAAGCCCTTGGCATGATGCTGTGGAGGGGGAGGGGGGAAAGCTGCCATTGGGGATGGGTAAAGCTCGACTGGGCAGCCCGATCGCCTCTGAGCCAGATCCAGCTTCGATGCTGGCCCCGCTTGGAGCTGGGTTTGGACCAGAGGCCCCCGCTGGGATTTCTGCGGGATCCCGTGGGTGCCAAGCTGAGGATTTCTGTGCCAGGATCCAGCCACCCTCTGATGTCCTGGTCCCCCTTTTTCCAGGTGAAGTCAATGTGGGTGGCATCGTGGCTGCAGTTGTGGTGCTGCTGATGGTGCTGGCACTCGTGGCTTTCGGCATCTGGTTTGCCTACAGCCGGGGCTTCTTCAGCAGTGAGTACTGCGCTGGCCACCCCAGGAATCGCTCGCCCCAGTGCCCCCCCCCCGCTCCTCCCTAAAACCCCTCTTCTGTTTCTTTCATTTCAGAGAGAAAAGAGTAAGTGAAGCCGTAATGCTGC